GGAGATGAGATGTGTTTTTCCAAGAAACAAACACCTTGACCTTCAAGTGTTGTAGTCAGAAAGACGGTTTTACTTCAAGTAGACTCAGTTAACATCTCCATCTTGGAACAATGCAGTAGCTTACTGTCATTCAAAAATGCTGCCGTTTCGTAGAGCATCACGAAACATGAGGCTTTCACATGCTTCTCCATGACATTCGAGGTATGGACTGAGAGTCTTAGAAAAATCTGAAGAGCCTTAGCTTGCTTTGAGTCACATGCTTTGTTACTTAGAAAAGGCTGGGCCTCCTAAGTGCCTGAGTAGCAGTTCCAATTGCTCCCTCCCTGTGTCTGTTAACATAAATCACACAGCTCCAAACTTCTCAGCTTTCGTAAATGGCAGGCCTGATTCATGCATGATTTATCAATTATAGCTGTGGGCCATTAAGATAGATTTCTCAGCTTCAGGTAGGCTGCAGTGGAGTTGTATAGGGTTGGTTTAGAATTTCTAAAGAAGCTCTGTAGTTGACAACCCAAACAATACAACTTCCGTTTCCCCTTGTTGGGAGCTTTTTGGTTTTAAGTAGGATTTTTTTTTCTTATAATTTCTTCTCCTTTTGGAACTTTGCCTTAGCACAAAAAAAAAAAAGGAGAAAAAATGTTTTAAGCAAAAGTAGTCAGGAGTTCTCAAAGCCACTCTTTTTATACAGAGAGCTTCTCTAGATCCTGCAGACAGATGGGAGGCAGTTCCTTGTGACAGCCCAGCAGAAGAAACAACTTGGAACCTCACCTGTTGCCCCTAATGATTAATGTGCAGAATATGACCCTTGGCAGATTCTGGGCTTGGCCATGCTCTTCCTTGCCAGAGAAGAAGCCTCTATCTTGAAGCACTTGAAGGAGGAGTAGATTTTATGATTGTATCACATCTGGACACTTTTTCTATGGATCCTCTCCTAGGACAGGCTAGGATCTGATGATGACTGGTACCAAAAAGCAAGAACTAATGTCTTCTCTATGTAAGCTGTGAGAAACTACAGTGGTTCACAGATGAAGAATAAATCAGTCAGGACAGTGGCAGGGCTACATAGAATAACATGGTTCAATGCACGGTTCTTGGAATTGGAAGGCTGATCTTGGAAATAGTGAGAAGTGGCTTTCTTCCTAAGATTTTAATAAAGCATAAAGATACAAGGTCTGTCCACCCACCCCCAGTACCATCCTGTTTATGTAGTTTACGGTCACATGCACTCTACTGAAGTATGTGTCTAAGAGGTCTCCCTCTTACACTGGGCTGTGACACCAAGCATCACCATCTTATCACATGTCCCTCTATAAAGTAATGACCTTGGCCTTCTCCTCCCTAGTCTTGATCAAGTCTGATTTAAAGGGAGGAAGTCTTTTTTTTTTTCACTTAAACATATGTTCAGTTGTGTTGGACTTTCAGCCTTCTCCTTCTTCAAATTAAAAGAGATAATTTTATATAATTAGAAATTTCTGGAGTCTGGGGAAGAGGGTGGCCAGGCCAATCTGCCTGACCATAAGTGATTACTGGACCCTTAGGAAATCCTGTCTCTAGTTGTGTTTGTGATGGCCTGGTTTGGCCAATCACAGATCCATTTTCTTCCTCTCCATCCTATTTGTATTCCCATGAAAAGCCCAAAGCCAGGTTGGCTGCTAACAGTTAAACTAGTAGTGAGAGCCATTCAGATTGGAGTGTTCCCAACAGATGCTGTGTTGCTCCTGGCCTGGGGTACTGAGAGCACTAGACCCCAAAAGCAGCCAATTTGGGAGTGTCTTTTAATTCACAATATTGTATTAACATCCACATGGATCCAGATGGATACTCTGCAATAAACTATAACCACTGGAGAAAAGGCTATATTGACTCTCAAGTAAATAATGCACATTTGAAAGGATCTAAATATGCATTTACATAATGTACTATAATTTTTTATTGTGTCAACTATTCACACACACACATCCATCAGAGATATTTCTCCTCATCAAAAATTTGGACTCATAACACTCTGTGTGTTCCATTAACATCATGCCAGCTTCATAATGGTAGATACTCTTCAATACAGCTTGCCCTAGCCATCACAAAGAACATCTAATGAATTAATTGTTTGGTTGATTTCACCCCAATGACTCCTTCTAAAATGATTTGAGACAGCTTAGATAAAAATGTAGGTACACTAAGAACATCAAACCCAAGGGAAAGGGAAAGAAAAAAAGAAGTAGAGAGAAAAGCAGAAAAAGATATTGATTCAGTCTTAGCTCTGGATTTTTAATGGTCCTCAGTGTCCAGTAGAAGAGGAAGATTATCCAGAGAAACACCAGGGATGTAATGGTAACCAACAGATCTTTGTGATGTCTATAACAGGGTTTTCTCTGAGGAAATTCAAGGTCATGATCTAGAATCATCTGCTTCCGTCTCTACAGTGAACTGGTGACTTTCTGTCCCAAGCAAGAGAAAAGAGGCTTGAAGAAGACAGCCCTGCAAATGCAGACTCAGCAGATGTCTGATTTAGAATCTCAGGCTAGCTGACTTCTTGGAATTAACTAAGAATTAATTGATCCTGATCAATCAGTCATTATAGAATTAATTCTATAAAGTACCATATAGTCTTCGGTCTGCACTGAATTCTGCACCACAAGGAAAAGATGAGTAAATTGCCATTGCTAAAACGTAATAAAGAAATGAAAGTCTGAATTTACACTGCTAATCATTTTCTTTTACATCTTTAATAAAAATAAGTTCAATGGTGTTTATTAACAATTAATGGAGAGAGCACATGGTACTGGTGAATTATTTTTTCTGTCATGTTTCTTTAACTTTTATCTACTTAATCTTTGCTCAAGCCTGTGTTTTTCCTTGGGCAGTATACCTTTGGTAGCTACCACCATTTCTTATCTAAAAGCCACTCATCACTTTCTGGGAGACCAATAGGCAAAGCCACTTTATCCTCAAGGTCAGTCTCACGGGGCTCTTGACAGTGGAGTGGCCACCTTTGTGCTACAACAGTTGAGTCTATAATTCTGTTCAGCTCAGTACATTCCTATTCTCATCTGAGAAATAACACCTACAGTGCTAACTAGAAATGATTCTGTCAGAAACAGCTCTCTGGTCAGCGTTTCTTGCTACCAGTGAAGACAACTACATCTGTGCTGGAAGAAAAGGAAGAAAAAAAAAAGATTCCTTTCATTCTTTAAATCCAGCAGCACAATTTGCAAGGGGAAACTTCTGCAAACCAGAAGCTTTTAACTCTTTAGCTTCTGAGTTTTCACTCAGAGACCATAATGGATTCCAAAATGTATATCTCATTGTGTGCAGTCTTAACTTATAACCATTTTTTCTCCATGTTCTCTGGCTCTTCATTTCGGGGCAAAAACATATTTTGTCCTTGGCAAGTTTTAAGCTTGTTTTTTTTTCTTAATTTTTAAACTCCTTCACTTAGCCATTTATTGTGCAATCAGCAAATATATCTCAAGTGCCAGGCTCAGTTCTGAGTCTATCACAGTGAGTGACTAAGTGGATAGGAAACTGGTCTACCAAGACGGAAGCAAGTAGAAAAGTCTAGAAAATTCTAATTTCAATCATTATGTTTGTGATGTCCTCAGTTGAATGACTAAGGGTAAAACTTTACCTAGGTTGGCCCAACTTTGCCTCTTGAAGCCACAGTGAGAGCCTGTGAATTTTTATTAAATGAATTCAAGTGGCCTGAAAGCAATGATTCTGCCTAATTATCTGCAAAGCTTGGGTTGGAGTCCTGTTTCTGCTCCAGCCTGAATTTTTACTGCAGGATCTATGGGGATAGCTCTGACCCACAAAACCATAGCCGCTTATGTTATTGGTTAAAAAATACCCTAAATCCTAAGGAAGCCCAAATGTCAGTAGGCATGTGTTCTCAGTCATTCCAATGGGATGGTGAGAAAAAGGCAGATCAAACTGAACATTGGATTCTCTTCAATGTTATGCCTCACTCTTGGTATTCAGAAAGATATATTCCCTAAAACTGTGGGCACTTCTATGTTTCTCTATGTAGGAGCCCCTGCAGTCTAAAGATTTAAATTACAAAGGGAGGGAAAGGAAAACCATATGGACCCCTGTCTGGAGTCTTTTCTGGCTGGACCTGACTTGGGATGAGTGTTGTCAGTCCTTCACGCACGGCCTTTAGCCTCTGACAGGTCTTGGCTGTCATCCTTCCAATTCAAGAACAAAAGCATTCCTGGAAAAATTATTAAGCATCTCACATAAGCTTTTTTAATCTAATGTAATCTTGTACAAATGATAATTATCAGGGTTCAGATATAAGGGAGTCGTCGCCGTCTGACTCTGTTATCAGATTTATGGGAGAGAAGCAGCCTTTCACAAAGTTCCTGCCTACTCAGCCTGTAGCTGCCTCGGCTTTGAAAGGGCAACAGAGAAAAATGCAACATGAACCTTACACTGTAAAGTACGGCATCCAAATTGCATGGGTTCATTAAGTGATCATTTACTACAGACTTCAGAAAGAAAAAAAGCTCTAGTCCTGAATTAGTCCCTAGAAATTTCCTTGAAAGGAGTCTAAGAGCTTTAACAATGAATTATTATCTATGGAGAGCTCAGCATGAAAGGGGATCCATATGTGCAAAGTAGAATTTGTCAAATGTAATGTCGGTTAAATCAGGTCTAATCTACCAAATACATTTTTTATTGCTTGCTTCATTAAAAAGGCTCTTAAGGTAATGAATAATCTTCATCTTCAACAAGGATTATTAATGCCTTTATAACTCACGTCCACTGAACATGGAAAGACAACTTGAAATTCTATCCTTTTCTAACCTCCATGTTTGTCTTAGAGCCTTAAAGGAGAAAATCCATCAGAACTGCCCAGTGTGCTACATCCTGTCATGTGAGCAAGCACCGTGAACTGGGCCAGGAGAAGAAACGAACAGAGGAGGCTGAGGAGTTCAGCTGTAGCAAAGCAGGTCTTTTTCTCCAAAACCCTGATGGTTGCTGTTTTGTTTTGTTTCTTGCAGCAAGTCCGCATGCGACGCCATCCACTCTCCACTTTCCAACTTCACCCATCATCCAGCAGCCTGGGCCTTACTTCTCACACCCAGCCATCCGTTACCACCCTCAGGAGACGCTGAAAGAGTTTGTCCAACTTGTCTGCCCTGATGCTGGCCAGCAAGCTGGACAGGTGGGGTTCCTCAATGTAAGGAAACCATTTTTTTTCTTCCTATTGCTTTAGAAATTCTAAGCAAGTGTGAAAATACCAAGAAGACCCTTTATGACCATGTGACTTTGTGTTGTCATGTCATGCTGACTGACTGCAGGCAAACATCATATTTATTCTAGATTATGGGAAAGTGAACTTGCTGTAAGAAGGATTGGCTGAGGTTTAAAAACAGTGTTTGTGTTAAGTTTGCAACTGTCAAGCTTATGGATATAAATTATCTGGAGCGTGAACCATGTAACCTTCCCAGTTACACCTCCTGCATTCTAACCCCAGGATCATACAGTTAACAAAATAGAAAGACCAAATAATTTTAAATAATGGTTCAGGGTAGTAAAGAGAGGTAAAGAGCAAGGGGAGACAGATGTTTCAGATCAACCAAGTTGATGTTTTTAAAAAAATACAGTCTTCTAACACTTTAGATCAAGTTGACCAGTACTTGAACTCAAGATGCTAGAAGCAAAGTTTACTATAGTTTGTTATTTCTGCAAGTAGTTATCTTTTCCACTTATCTACATATAAAACTAAGCCATGTTCAATAACTGTAAATGAATGTTTTCATTTTTTCTCAAATAAACCAAATAATCACAATTTGAAATAGCATTCCAAATAGTAAAAGTTATTTTATAAAATCGCAAATTTTATTACAAATATAAAAGCTATAGTTTACAATGAATGACTGTATCCCAAGGCTAGTGGCAATCATAGTAATAAATTAAGACCAGCAGAAAGCCATATTTGATTTCCTTTTCTCATAATATCTATGCATGAAACCACAGATTAGCCATAATTATTATTGCCTGGTTTAGGATGTTATGTCACGGTCCTCTGTCACTGGTTTTTCTCCCCTGCAGAAAGACCTGATTCTGCAGATCTGAGCCAGAATGGGCAGCTTTGACTAATGTCTGGTGATATGTTCACAGATACACTTCTGTCTAGACAACAAATCAATATGGTGCCTTTTTTCCATTTTACTTGTATATTCATTTGCTTGGCTTATTCTAAAATATTCACTTATGGATGAATACACAAATAAAGTCTACGCAAATAATACACAGGCAAGGATGCTGTGAGAGTGTGTAGCCTTCTGATCACCAGACAGAATCTGAGGGGAAAAAAAAAACACTAAAAATACCGCAAATGCTAATGGAGGAGTGAGCCTGCCTCTGCAGAATTGAGTTTATTCTTAAAAGCCCAGGACAATGGGATCTCCTTTGACTGAATTTTGGGTTGGGGCTGCAGTCTATATACAGGCTGTTACTAGCTGTAACTCAGGATGGAAAGTCACAGGAAACCTCGAAAACCTGAGCCAATCACAAGCACCAAGTTTGACTTCTGAATATCCAGTGTGTTTTTTTGCTAGTCATGACATCATCTCATATAACTGTCAAATACTCTGTTTTACATTTTGATCAAAATTTTACAGGGTTTTAGAGAAGTTTCTTCATAAAGCCGTTTTAAAGACCTTGAAAATAAATGTGGCACGTTCTCTACTGAGGGAAACTTGCTTTTGTTTAAAAGCTGCTATTTGGCCGTTCTAACATCAGGGCAGCCAGAGAAGTATAAGTCCCATGGCATCTGCTGGTATAAGGCAGATCAGAAGTGCAATATACAGCAAAAAATATATAGGAAGAATAAAAGCAAACATCTGACAGCTAAATATTAAAGTTTCTGTGCCTAATGCTATATGATTTTCTGTGCAAGAAAATGTCTGTGTTTGTTGAATACATTTATTAACTGTATTATAAAATCAACTTTAGGAAATGAAAAATATCCTTTTATATATTTTTATATACATATGTAGGGAATCACCATTTAATCTATATAAACAAACAGGGTGAGATAATACCTCAGTCTATAAGCATGAAGATAGTAATTGTTTCCTTTAGGAATCATGAGAACATTGGTAGCACCGGCAGCTGATACAGCACTGAGCAAGTGGTAGTTACTCAGGTAGACACAAGACCAGAATGCTCTGGACATGACACCCTGGGGAACAAACAATCGATGTGTTTCCAATGTCCTAAATATTAGCCATTGGCATGACAGGTACCTAATGAACCTCTCCTTTTCAGAAGTAGCTGATGGCTGACATCTGTTTATTCTTTTTTTTTTTTTTTGTATGTGTTTTCTCTGAACCCTTGTAGCCCAATGGAAGCAGTCAAGGCAAGGTGCACAACCCATTCCTCCCCACCCCAATGTTGCCGCCGCCACCGCCACCACCGATGGCCAGGCCTGTGCCTCTGCCCATGCCAGACACCAAGCCTCCAACCACATCAACAGAAGGAGGTGCAGCCTCCCCCACCTCACCGAGTGAGTATGGCTGAGATCAGTCACCGCCGGTTACTTAACCATGCTCCGTGCACTTGAGTTCACACCTAAGCCTTGTCCCTGGCTGTGCAGGCTCCAACAATAGGCCCAGATCCCCACCCCACACCCCTGATGCCCTGTTATATCTATAGCATAAGCTGGAGCACATATCCAAGAGCCCATATCCAAGCCACTCCTATGCATGGTCAAACTACAGCAAATATGCAAATGATTGGGTGTAGGTGGTAGATTATGGTGGTGTGACGAGATGCTGAGGACTAGGCTATTAATTTTGTGGATTGCTGGGGTGGATTGCATAGAATGCTATTCCCATCATGTTCTAAGAGCATCTGCTTATATCTATTCTTAATAGCAAAAGGTTTCATTTTCTCTAGAAACTTGACAAGAGATTTAAAAAAAGTATATGCCTTGTACATAAGATAGAAAAAGTGACCCCCTCAAAGGTATAGTAAAAAGGGCCCCATAACAGATCAGAGCTAGAGGCCATGGGGACTACATGAGAAGGCTTAGGAAGAGAAGGGAATAGAGAAAAGAACTGAATAGAGAGAGGATCTTTCGGCTCTTCCTGCAGCAGTCTGAGAAGATCTCTATGATTGGGAATGATTCAACAGTGAGCAATTCCCCAAATATTTCTTCGTATTTTGGAGATAGCAGGGCCAGAAATGGTGTGAGCACACAACTATGGCCTCTATTCATGCCTGCAATAGGGCAGAAAGAGTGATGGCTGGAGTTTCCAGGTGACCTGGTGGCTCAGCCTTGAAAGATGGTGTGATGGGCCCTTCCTCAGTGCTTTAGAGAGGATGAAAGTGTAGAAATGGGCAGTGGCAGTGCACCTAGGAAGAGCCTGGGGGCAGCAGGGACAGCAATCCTCTGAAGGAATTAGGAATGTGAAAAAATGGAAGAACAGTGTGGAAAAGAAGCATTTAGGTCAGGAACAACAAGAACACTAACAGCAGTTGAATGGAAGGGGATGGGGGAGGGGTAACTTGTAACTATAAGTGAGCATTTAAATAAGAGGCCTTTTGGCTGTCTTATATTCAACATTGAAATTAATGATATTGCCTACAGGAGTGAAAGGGCCAAAGAGGGACCACAGTCCTCTGCTTAGATCATAGACACTGGAATCGGTTCTGGGGACATGGAATCTAAAGTGACCTGCATCCCTCTTGGACATAGATCAGAGAGTAAACTTTGCATCATCCTAGTGTTTATGTCTTTGGATAAGTGGATGACATTGTATGTAAATTCTACAGAAAAAAGACTAGAATTTAGAGGCAATTTGGGAGACAGACCTACTTGGTAAGAGATGGTTCAGTCTAACACCTAGCAGCCAAGGAGAAAATCAGTGTCCATTGACATGGGATAGAAGGTGCCTAACTGAGCCTGTTGGTACTTCTCAGAAGCAAGCTGGGAAAAGACTTGAAAACTAGTGTCAGTACTGGGTAAAAATTTAAGTCTAAATTATACGTTTTAAAAATCACATGCTTTCGTAGAAACTAGAATTGCAGGATAGTTTGATCTGTTTATCCTTAGCAGTTTCTAAGATCTCAACTGCAGCAAGAAGCAGGGAGTTAGGTACAGATAGATAGATGTTCAACCTCCTAACAGTGTGTCCAAAACTGAAGCCTGTTTCAAAGAACAGTGGCACACACTTTTTTGTTTAGGGGTTTGGGATTGCTTGCAATAAAATAAGATTTTTTTTTTGTCGGTTTAAAAAAAATAATAAAACAGGAAATCAAGCCAAAGGGTTCCTCTATTACCAACTTTTGCAAGGCCTTAACTCCCTCTGAACAGGAATGGCATTAGCTCCTGTGCCCACTCTCCCAGCAGGTGATCAGGGGGAGTAGGATAAAATGCAGGCCAAGGCATCATTGTTAACGTCTTCTGATAATGAACTACAAATAGATGCCAGCCTAGAGCAGAACATGTGTTGCCTCTGGCACTAATACTAAACTTTTCAGCATGGAAAAAAAAAAAAAACCTATGGGCAAGGCAGATCTGGAAAAAATTACCTATAAAATAAATGTATCTTAATGGGAAAAATCTGTTCCCCTTCCCTTAAAAATCAGGAAAGCAGGAATGTGGGAAAGCTGTGCTCTTCCCTAAAGAGAAGGTTTCTATTTTGGGATGTGTACATGACCATTGGCTATACAGTGCAGGACTGTTAGAATGTGGCAGATAGGATGCTCGGCCTGGGAGAGCAGTTCACAAGGTGTGGTCCACTCTCACTGATGAGCTGCTGCTGTGGGTTTCTATCCCCACTAAGGAAAACCTCATTTACATGCATGTTCTAGAGTATCAGCTGTGTGCCCAAAAACCCTTCTCAGCACCTAGAAGAGGGAATAAACCTGATTTAGAAATCATCATCTTATAAAAACTTTATTCCAAAGAGGAAGATCGAGAACAAACACAGTCAGTTGTGAAAAGCAGGCAATGTAAGACGGGGATCCCTGTGTGTGGGAACCCACGGAGCAGTAAGGGTAGGATAGCATGCAAGAGGGGAACAAGGCCCACCAGCCCTTTGACCTTAGGCCAAGGCCCTGATGGGGTGGGACCAGATGACAGGTAGGAAGAAAAGTCAGCCAACTCAGTGTAGTGGGAGTGAGGAAGGTAAAGACCAAGAGAAAGAGATGGGGGGGGGGAGCTAGGGGGTGGGAGAGGGGGGGGGGGGGGGGAGGGATCGGAGGCAAAGTTGAACAGGTGATGAGGATGGAGTTAAGCCCGTAGGAGTGTGAAGCTTGTAGGCCTGTGTCAGGACTTGGACATTTCCTGCAAGTGAAACTCCGAGCAGAGGAAAGCTTCCTGAAGCCTGGATGTTAGTAGAAAATCATGGAGGGCTTTTTTGAAATAGGTTCTGGGGATGGGGAATGGGAGACAAAGAAGCAGAACAGGATGAATGGAATGGGTATCTTGGACATGCCAGCGCCCCCTCCCGTTAGAGACAAAGAAGGACCAAGGCAAATGCAAAAGATAAGAATTTCCATCCTGGTGGGGCAGGAAACCTAAAACAACCAAACATAAGTGAGTTAGGAAGCTAGGGACCAATAGATAAAACTGAGGAAGCAGAATTGGGCAGAGTATGGCAGGGTGCTATGGCAATCAACCAGATGAGTTGTCTATGCATTGACCTGGGGACAGGGTCAGTAGAGGCTGTACGAAGCTCTCGGACTCCAAGAATATTCTAAAGATAGAATTTATAAGATTTGCAAGTGCATCTGATCTGGGTAGAGAAAAAGGAGAGACATCAATAATGACCTGTTTTTTACCCTGAGCTCCTGAAAGGAGGAAGATAAGATGGTTCTAGGAGAAGCCACTCTAGGTGAGGGGTGGGCACTGGAAGGTTGAGTCCACTAGACCTCCCAGTGCTCAGACTAAGCAAAACTTGCTGCCAGTGGCAGATTACGGAGTTTTTCAAAGTGCATCTTCTTAATAAAGGACTTCTTTAAAAACATACAATATAGCATAAGAGTCTTTTTAAAGGTTTCATGTGGTGGTGCATGACTTTAATCTCAGCACTTGAGTGGCAGAGGCAGCTGAATCTTGTGAGTTCAAGGCTAGCCTGATCTACACAGTGAGTTCTAGGCACCCAGAACGACATAGTGAGATTCCACTTGCCCCTTAAAAAAAAGAGAGAGAGTTTTCTGGGTCCTAAGAGCTATATCTCCTCATGTCATGGGTTGGAACTAGCATATAAAAACTGGTATTTCCCATATTTTTTTTCTGAAGTGAAGATTGGCATCATAACATGAAATTATAATGCAAAGGAGAAAACAATTTTGAATTATGGTAGGAGATAAAATATGCATATTTTCCTTTGTTAATTAATTAAAAATCAATTTAAGGTGCATAAAAAACTCATAAACATTTTTCTCCTCCATTCCTTCTTAGTTAAGAACTCTTGATTTCTTTAGACTAAAATTCTATTAAAATAGAACCATGTAATAGCAAGTTACATTTATTGTTCATTTTTATGTCTCAAATGAATCTTGTATCCGTTTCATTCTGTAAATGAATATGTACCTATAACCAAGAGCATAACAATGATCTACCACCAGAACAGAAACGTTTAAGTCTAACAATTAACACATGTTCAATGTCTTTTGATGAACAAAGCTCCAGATCTATGTGCATTATCTTCTTTCCACTTCCTCGAGGTCAGCATTTTATAGACAGGGCAACTGAAATGAGAAATTTGAGGTTACCTTGCCCAGTACAACACTCCAATGCTGGCGTGGTGGGACTTCCATGCTCTTCCTATTACCTCAAACGATAACTGGGTAGCTGTCTCAGTTAGGGTCTCTGTTGCTGTGACAGAGCACCATGAACAAAAGTAACTTGTGGAGGATAGGGCTTATTTCAGCTTACAGTTCCACATCACAATCTATCATAGATGGAAGTCAGAGCAGGATCCTAAGACAGGAACCTAGAAGTAAGGACTGAAGCAGGGACCATAGAAGAATGCTGCTTATTGGCTTGCTCCTGTTGGCTTGCTCAGCCTGCTTTCTTGTGCAGTGTTGGACCATCTATCCAAAAGTGGTACCACCCACAATGGGCTAAGCCTTCCTATATCAATAATTAATCAAAGAAATACCTCCATAGACTCCGCCGCAGGCCAGTCTGGCAGCAGCTTAGGAAGAGGTGCTTGAATAGCACGGAAGAGTTGAGCCTTTACCAGAGTGCTTCAAGATTTCTTTTATGTGTAGTATCTCATTTTATCCTCACACTAACTCTCAGAAGGAAAGCTTCTTGTTTAAGTGATTGAGACAGAGAAGACAAAATGGATTGATAAGGTAACTTTTTGAAGGCCACTCAGCCAAGTGTTATAGAAACATGACTCACACCCAGCCACCTGGAACCTGAAGTTCCTGTGTTTTTCTGTGGCATGAAACTGTGCAATAGCCTAAAACTTCCTTTGTTAAGACAGCAAAGACTCTGTGGAGAAATATAGAAGATATTAGTAGTTGTTGGTACTTAAGTATGAA